GAAATATAAAAATATATATATATATATGATGTGCGCACCTGGTGCATATGCAGCCTGCCAGCACGCACCCCCCAGCGCACCCGCGCGCAGCTCACCGGCCCTGTGCGCGGCGCGCGCCGGTGCACGCGCACCCAGGTGCGCGGCGCGCGCCGGTGCACGCGCACCTCGGGTCCGCGCACCGCGCAGCGCACAGGGCCGATGCGCCGCAAGTATGCTTTGGACTTGGAAGCCAGGCTGGGTAGTGCGAGTCAAGGATGGATAGATGGGAGGAAGAAGAAGCTGGCCCAAGATTTGAAGAAGAAAGGGTACCACTTACTCTATATTGATGCAGATGAGAATCCGGATATTTATGATCCTGGGGAGGATACAGAGTCCGTAGGCAGCCAGGAGACTTTTCAGGGAGGAGCCCTGGCTGCAGCCACAAACAAGGCTAAGGTGCCTGGCAAGCGGAGAAACGACAAGTCTAGGAGTCAGGCAAAGAACTGAATGCGCCCCTTTGGGTCAAAGATGGACTACAGGCGGATGTGTGGAGAGACGGGTATGTCTGAGGCACCTCCATTAACTGTGGCCAGTATGGTCACACAGGCACGATGCAAGAACAAAAAGGTCACCGCTAAGGTACAGCCCCACATTGGGCAAGTGACATCTTCATCCCAAAGAAGTACTTCTACGAGCTCTTCTCAGAGAAACACATCCGGCGAGTAGAAGTTGTAGCTGCTTATACTCAGGCTGAATTGGTAGATCCTCCCTCACGGACAGGCTCACCTTTTCAGCCGATGGCCGAAGCTATTGGCTCGTTAGTCACCCCGCAGACAGATCCATACCAAATGATGCTTTGTTCATTGGATGTGTACGAGTCTTGGAGAAGCTAGAGAGTGTGCGGTCAGAGAAAGACTAGCTAACTTCTTGGATGGCGATGGCGAAGGCTCCCAACACATTCTGGCTGGCTCACGTGCGGCAGCACTGCTGGAGCGCACACCGGTAAGACAGAGCCTGGCCAGAGCACACACGCATAGGCACTGGGCAACAAGGCTGCTGAGCGCAGCCATTGTGCAGCAGCCATAACCGGCCTGTTTGCACTTCTAGCCGGTGGAGAGGGCGGTGGTCCTGGGCGGAGAAGAAATGCCTGTGGAGGAACAAGTCAGGGGATGAGTGAGCGACAGAGGAAGAGACGTACCTGGTCTTGAGAGGAGGTCTGCAAGGGCGACATCTTCATGTACATTGGGCAGCTGCTGAAGTGTACCACGTTGCATCTGTAGATTGATAGGCTAGTATCGGTGTTGTCTGGTTGTAATCTGGGCGCTGAGCGCCATATAGAAGAGCGAAATTGGATACAACGATAGTGGGCGCGAGATGGGGGCTGACATTGTCAATTGAGTTCATTTCTTTGCTCTTATTTGGTGTGTAACTTTGTGTATTCTACTTTCTGTTCGGTATACGACTATCTGGTTTTCAATGTGATGACACAATTTGGTTTTCTGTAATTCCCTCTAGTGCACTAGTGTGAGTATGACCTAAAACACGTTGATTTGTCTTTAGGAAATTAGCACAGATAATGTGACATATTTCCATTCTTTGCGTTTATCTCAAGCTTTTCTATCTGCTTCAGTATTTTCAACTGTTTTAATATTTTTTGCAAGTATCTACATTGATGCCAACAACGTGAACAACAACAAAATAAAAACAAAAAAAGGAATACACAGGCACGAGGGCAAGAAGCAGTTATGCCTTTTTTCAGAGAACGTCTCAACCGTTGATGGTGAACTTTTAGAGGATCTCTTGCAAACACATCTTGATGAAGTAGATACATGAAACCTCACTCCACCACTCAACATTCGAAAAGCATCTGAACTGTGCCCTGGACTGATCTGACATTTTGAATGTGTCCGACCACTAACAGGTCCAGATACATTTCGTACGCTGTGTAGTGGGGTGAAGCCAATGAATAGCATTATGGAAGTTCTGATCCCTAATTTACTGCCGACCTGTTCGGCACCATCCTTGTCTGAGAATGGTCCTGTCGTGTTTCCAAATGCATCCATCCCCAGCAAGACAGTTCTCTTTCATCAGCAACAACCGGCACGGATCTGAATAATTGGGCATCATGCACAACCATAACCAGTCAAAGACAAGAGAGCAAACATATATTAGAATCATGGCTGACCCAAGCATGGGCCAAATACAGCTGATTGTCAACAGGAACAGCCAAGCAAAGAGAAGTGCAGCCAACGGAGCAGCATAATGAGGTACAGCCAAGCACTTATAAAAGAATGGACAATGCCACAAATGGACCAGCATGAATCTGAATCATTTAGCAAAATGCACAATCTCTCTCTCTCTCTCTCTCTCTCTCTCTCTCTCTCTCTCTCTCTCTCTCTCTCTCTCTTTGTGTCTGTTTGTGTGTGTGTGTGTGTGTGTGTGTGTGTGTGTGTGTGTGTGTGTGTGTGTGTGTGTGTGTCTGTGTGTGTGTGTGTGTGTGTGTGTGTGTGTGTGTGTCTGCTTTAGGACTCGATAGATTGAAGTGCGATGACTTCATCTTTACTGAACCTGCGTCAACATGAAGAAATCCATGAAGGATCTGAATCTCCCACATCTTGGTCTCTATTTCCGTGCAATCACCTCACATGCAGTTGTCAACAAACAAGCTCAGCGGGAATACCACTGGCTGCCTGATTATCTGCAGTGCCCCAAGTTGTGACCCCGCTTAGTCAGCACCATACCACTGCATATCAACCATGGCGAGCTGATGGGCCGTGAAAGGGTCAGGGAGTTCTGAGGGTGGACGCAGCGGGATCTCCTGGTTCACCTTAGTCCAACCCTTGAAGCAGATTCCATAGTCCCTCCTGAACTCGTCCCGGCTGTTCTCCAAAGTGCGGCCTCCTCCCCATCGGATATAAGCAATCCAGCCCCCATTTTCACTACCCAGCTAGTCCCCTGACGATTGTTTAATTGCTTGTGTTATGTCTTTATGTGAATGGAGCAGATCCAGTTGAGTTTTAACTTTCTGCCACTGTGCCATGAGTTCCTGATGAATATACTGCTTCATCATTTCTGTCACATCCTCCCCTTCTATGTGGACCCCCTCAATGGCGTACATGCACCGTTTTCTCCAGAGGGCCCAGATAACAGCTCTCCTCCCTACCTTGAACATATTGTTTTTGAAGGTGTTATCCGTGGGGGAGGTCCATGCGTCGCATAGGAGTGCCCTCCAATCCCATGGCCAGGTGGACCCGGTGCCTAGTTGGCTCCAGATCCGGTCCCACCATCGCCATGTAAGGACCGCCACCGGGCACTGCAGGAATACATGTTCTTTAGTTTCTGGAATCTTGTGAGAGGGAAAGACAGTGTGGCAAAATTTGCACCACGGTAACGCCAGTCCCCTTTGCTCCAGGTAAATGCGGTCTACTAGCCAATTGTTGGTTGGAAGGCAACGGTGCTCTATCTGCCATTGTAGCGAGGCCATCTTAGCAGGCTTAGACCTTGTGGCGGTGGACCATCAAATGGGCCGGATAGCGTCATTCCCTATGTTCAAGTGAGACCTCCAACGGGCCTTCACAATTTCCTTTAGATTCACCTTTGGCCTCAGGAGTCGGTATCTAGATTTCACTGTCAGACTGAATAGCGTTTTGTTGGCACCAGATTTTGTCCTGCGTGCAGTGTTCCACTTCCACTTCTCTGGGTCAAAGGGGAGTTTCGCAAGTGGGGTACTTGAACGGAATGCTATTCATTCATCCTCGTCCCAAATTACCGAGACCCTATACAGTTCGGCATTCCTCGGCCTTGTGAAAAAGGCTGACCAACATTTCGTCGGTAAGTACCTCCACCACATTGTCCACACTTTCTGTACCTCCCGGAGTGGCTACCCAATCACCCTGAAGAAGCCCCGGTACTTCGTGCAAGATGCGCAAATTCTAAATTCTTAATATAGTAAATACATTCCTTCTTTTATTCTTCATTCTACTTCCTCCCTTGTCTTAATTTCTCTTCCCATCTCTTCCATTCGAGTCGCAATGGAATGGCATGGTATTGGGAACTGACCAGGATCATAGCACAGAAAAGACATAATACTATGATAATGGTACTTTGGGTAGGCTGAAGTATTTCCTGAGTTCAGGTTGGCCTGGGAGAGATATCAGGAAGGTACCGACCAAATACAGTCTGTAAAGGAGTCTAGGTCCACATCCTGTGGGTAAGGTAGATGTTTACAGCAGAAATGAGCAAGAACAGGTAGTGCCTAGAGGGTGGGTAGTCTGGAAGTCACAGGAGGAATGAGCCAACCGCCAAAGTATATCAAGAGGAGCCGTGAGTTGCTCCTCTTTTCTTCAGTTGGTGGTAGACAGGCTGCTGGACTGGGAGCTTGGCTGAAGCAGTGCCAAGCAGCAGTTAGGAGGAGAAGGGAAGAGTAGGAGGAAGGAGGAAGAAGAAGGTGGAGGAGAGTGAAGGAAGAGACATACCTTGGCTATGGTGGACCTGCATCTTCACCACCTTGGTTGGAGCTGCGTCTGGGAGGTGCCAAAGGGGGCTAGAGTGGACTTGTACTTCATCTGTGAGTGTAAGTATGGTGGTGGACAGGGAAAGGACATAAAAGCATGTGTGTTGTCCTCTGAACATCCAAGGTCACCTTCGATGCTCCACCATAGCTAGTAGCCATCCGGAAGGTAGTGGGAGATGTGGGTGAGTCAAGTGAGCTCCCTTGACATGCGCGCAGTAAGGAGATTCATCTGACATTGATTCTGGCTTCTTCATTCATTGTTGTTGTTTATTCCTAATTATAAGATGTTGCTGGCGATGATGAGGGAGAGAGATGAAGGCAAGATGAGGGAGAAGTGACGTTAGTTCCAGCTTGTGTTTTCTTCTTCTTCTTCTTCTTGTATTCTTCATTCTTCTTCTTTCCTTCTCGTATTCTTCTCTGAGTGGAATTGTCTCTTCGTGAATTTTTGCATTGAGAACTGACCAGGATCATAACACAGAGAAAGAAATGGTGGTTCACATGCACCACATATCAGTCTTAACTTCATAGCTCACAGATGCTGGCATTGGACCTCTCTATGGGCCCAGTCACTCAGCCGTTGAGATCAACGGCAAGTTCCACAGTGATTCACCTGTTAATTTCTAGACATTCTTGTTTGTTTGTTGGAGAAACACGCAACACATCATGCATAGTATTTCATACAGAAATTTGCTACTCGGGCAAAGATTGCATAGGCATTGTCATGTCAGCCAGTCCAGTTTCCGTACTCACTCGGACTTTCTCAAACATGCGTTGACAACGACACCATGAGTGGAACCGACATCACATGCACGTGAGTTTGTCACACCAGGTTGCGAAACGACACCATACACAAGCGAAGAGACAAATGGTAACCGAAACCAAATCCAATTCTGAGTCGAAGTACAATATGTCACGTCACAGCCCGACCTTCCTAGACATTCCTCTGAGGCAGAGTTTTTGAGATTGATCTACACCAATGCAAACACATATCAAGAAAGGAATGAAATTGTGGAAGCTTGCAACTCACCATGTACCATTTCACACTTTTGCTCCCAGTAGCATGAGCCAACAGGACATCTATCAAGGTCTCTGAGGCAGCAGACGCTTCCGTATGAACATGGATCAGTTCGCAAGGGTGTTTTCTGAAAGTCCACTACACAATTTCCTACACATCCGAAGGTATGAAAAACAGATGAGAAAGGGGCAGGAGAAGTAAGATGGGAAGAAGGATAGCATGATCAGGCACTGTTGAAAGGCAAAGAATACGACAAGGGACAGAGCCAGGATAGGGAGGAGGGATATGGCCGCAGCAGGAGTTTGGCAATGAGTAGGTTTCTCCACACCTTTCTCCGCCCTCGCCACACCACTTTGAAGTTGTAGCAGACTGAGATTGATCCCAGACATATCCCCTTTCATGTATCTCCTTGCAGTTCATCTTTGATGCTTGTCTGTTCAGTGCCTACCTGTGTGACGAATCATTCTTGCAATCATGTGTGCTTGTTTGATGTGACTGCTATCAGTTCTGTTGCCTGAAGTTGAGAAATGGACCTCACGTGCTTCTCCTCCCCTTGCAACCCAACTCTGCCCTGTGCTCTCCCTACTGCTACTGCTCCCCACCCTTCTCCTGACATCTCATCTTCTCCTCCTATCTGCACAGCTTTCTCCGCCCTCCTCACACTCCTTGTCCTTCTCTTTATTGTCTGACTCCCGACCCACCCCGTGAGACCCTCATCCCCCACGCAAGGGGAGGAGAAGCACATGAGGTCCATTTCTCAACTTCAGGCAACAGAGCTGATAGCAGTCACATCAAACAAGCACACATGACCACAATAATGATTTGTCACACAGGTAGGCACTGGACAGACGAGTGCAAGGAACATGAATATGGACGAAGCACAGAAATCCAGATTTCAAAATCACACTGAAGTCCAAATAGTCAAAGCACGAGCAGATAGCACAATGGTACCGAGTAACCATCCATTTGAGAACGATACAGAAGAATCGTGCGTCAATGTCCAAGCCCAACAGGGCAACACCAACAGCATAACCCAATGTAGCTCTCTCTCTGAATGGCGCCAGGCGCCCTATCTACTCTACAGACT